GGCTTCTGTGCCAGCATCGCCCATGGCGGTGGCCTCACCCTCACAGGCCGGGGCCTGGGCTGCCCTCACGGAGGCTCCCTTCTCCTCAAGGGCCCCGCCTTTCTCACTTGGAGATGGAGCCGCAAGTCCAGTGAAACCATCCAAGTTAGAGCTGTCAGTCTCACACTGTGGGCAATTCTGGTGCCAAGAGTGAGGCAGTGAGAGAGTTACTGTATAGAATATTATCCTATTTAGGAATATATACAGGGTGGGCAAAGTAGGTTTGCAGTTGTTTGTATAGAAAATAATACAACAATTAATAAATAATAATACAAGAATAGACTCTGTGTTTTGTGTACTCACAACTGTAAAGCTACTTTTCCCACCCCTGTTTATATGTATATATAATGCATGTATTTAACACATACACATATATATGTATATACGTAAATTTTTTTGGTACAGAAATGGGGACCCAAATAGGTTGTCTGGAATGCAGTCAGCGTTCTAGAATAATACTCCAGGTTGCCTGTGGTTGCCTTTGGAGAGGGGACCGAGCTTTGGTTAGAGATGAAGTGGTTTGAAAGTCAGCTTGCATTTTTATTCAATATGTGGTTAGAACTCCTTCATGCATTTATCACTACTGTAATGTCACAGCTTTAAACAGAACACCTGCTTTCCTGGAGGATAGTACTGCCCTCTCCACCCTCCTCTTCATCCTCCATCATATAAACACGATCCCTGAAATTCCCCTCGGTACCCTCCACCTGCTCTCTCACTCCCCAAACCCTCCCGAATCTGCTGGACATTCTTCTCATGACCTCATGTCAAGATCTGTCTCTCTTCTCATGTCCTTTCCCACCCCCTTGGCCTCCTCATCCAGCTTGAGTCCGAGGTCACCCATTTCAGTGACTCTCTCACCAGCCCCCGATTCTCTCATTCCGTGTCCCCTGTCACACTTGCTTTGTCAGCTCTGAGCTGTCCCTGCTCCATTCCAGCCTCCTGGGGAAAGACATAGACTCCTGTGACTGGGCCCTGGCCGACTCCCAATGCCAGCCCAGCCTGCCCTTCACTGTGCCCAGCAATGTTCTTAATTCTTTTTAATTGGCTTCTTATCATGCTGCCCTGTGTACTCTTTCCCCCTTCTCCTTCTTTATATTGTAGCCTTCACCCGTGAACTGACGCAGATGCACACCTCATTCCTCCATACTGTCAACACTTCCACGCATCACATTCTCCTGAGGCCCCACCTCAGAAGAACCTTATTTCCAAGTCAGGCTGTCTGTGTACCCTCAATCCATCTCAGTTTTTCTCTCTCTGGACTCTTCGACATCAGCATCCTTTTCTCTCTCTCTTAAAAAAATACATTTTTATTGATTTCAGAGATGAAGGGAGAGGGAGAGAAAGACAGAGATATCATTGATGGGCTGCCTCCTGCACGCCCTACTGGGGATCGAGCCTGCAACCTAGGCCCTAACTTGGAATTGAGCCATGACCTCCTGGTTCATAGGTCAATGCTCAACCACTGAGTCACGCCGGCTGGGCAGCATTTTTCTCTCTTGCATCCTTAGTCTGTTCTACCCCACTTCATATGGGTGTGACACAGAGCTCCATCCTGGGCTTAGTCTGATTTAATAGATTTTTTCCCCCCAGTGACTGAGGAAACCAAAGGCATGCTTGGAGCCTGCCTCGATTCCCACCTACCACGACTAGCCCAGTCCTTCTCCCAGCGGCTGGAAGCTTTCAAGGTTGGCAGCTCTCAGCTGAATCCTTTTCAGGGACTTGCCGAGAACTGCTGTCCCCATGTCATGCTCCCTTGTGGGCCAGTCTGCCCTCAAGGACTGGCCATGACAGAGCTATAACCAGTCCAGTAACTGGTTATCTGTGCCCTGGGGCCAGGACAACTCTGAAGGGCCATGCCTACTCCTGAGCTCCCTGCAGGAACCAGCTGAGAACTCTGTTGGGTCTGCATTGCAGCCCACTCCTCCCTCTGCCCACTCCTGTTTCCCTCACTCCCCACCTGAGTGGACCCTGTGAGCATGTCTCCATACGCTTCCTGCCGGCAAATCTTCGACTCAGAGTCTCCTTCTTGGGAACCCACCTGCTTCAGCAGGCTTTTCAGATTTGGGGAGAGATCTAGAACATGGATGGGGACGATCAATATTCAGGCTGATTTTATCTGCTTGGAATGTAGACCCAGTCTGAGAGAACAAAGCTCCCTGGATCGGTGTAAACTTTTGGATTATGTAGCTTTAAAGAAATTCAATTTTACAAATATAAGATGTGAGAGACTTTGGCAGACATTTTTTGAAAAAGAACTAAAGGATTCCTTACTTTTTGAGTTCATTCATTCATTCACATAGGAGTGCCATTCTGCGCCAGGGGTGGGGCAGCAGAAACAGGAAGAGAAGGGTGATAAACTAACACCCAGACTTAGGATTGTAATCTGTGAAGTAAATAAACAGGGGGAAGAAATAGGGAATAGAAGGGGTACCTTTCAGAATAGGTGATTTGAGAGGAAGACTGATGAGAGATCGGCACCATTATTAATGGAACGGATCAGAGGGAGGGAACTCAGAGGTCTGCAGGTCATCCACCCACCCCATGCTAACCCCCATGCTAACTGGAGGCCTCCAGACGTTGAGGCTGCAGGGAGTTGCTGATGGCCTCCATGCTCAGTGTGGTTCCAAGACAGCACACAGGCAACACCGGCAAGCTCCCCTCAGAGCCTCTCACCACTAATCCTGGGCCCAGATGAGGGTCTGTGTCTTACTGGTTCCTGGTGTATCTGTTTCTGTGGCTGCTGTGACACACCACACACTTCCTGGCTTGGAACAACACAGATGCAGTATTTTATAGTTCTGGATGTCAGGGTCTGAAGTGATTCTCACTGGGCCGAGGCCAAGGTATTGGCAGGGCCATAGCCTTTTGGAAGTTCCAGGGGAGAATCGATTCCTTCCTTTTTCTAACTTTAGAGGCTTCCCACGTTCCTGGGCTCATGGCCCCTTTTTCCATCTAGAGCCAACATTGCAGTAGCGTCTTCAGATCTCTTTCTCTGATTCTGCCCCCTTCTCGTTTTGCCATCCATCTTCTGACTCTAACCCTCCTACCTCCCATTTACAAGGACCCTAGTGATTATATCTGGGTAATCCCCCAAATCTCTCCTCAAATTTTTTAATTATATCAACAAAGTCCCCTTAGCCACGTAAAGTAACATGTTCATAGATTCTGAGGATTGGGGCATGCTTGGGGAGGGGGGCATATTCTGCCTACCACGCCAGGTAACTCAGATCCATATCACAGGCTGAAAGCCCTGGCACCCTGTATTTAAGTGGCTTTTCTTTCCTACTTTCCCCAGGTGCTCACGCATTGCTGAAACCTCTTAAGTGCCTTGTTTTGCTTATTTGCTTGACTCCTTCACATATGTGGTCACGTGTCATTTTAAATAATTCTTGTTTTTGTTATTAGACAAATGCTGCTTGAGGAAGGAGCTGGGGGTTGGGGCGCTGTGTGTTTGTGTCTGGTTCATGTGCTCCTGGATGTCTCAAGTGGTGAAAGCTCCTGTATGTGCTGGCGCAGGCTTGGATGTTCAAGAAAATCCATCTCTACCAATAACTACAAACTAGGCCTTAGAGAAGTCACCTGACTTCTCTCAGACAACCCTTTCATCACTTCCTACATGGCAGGTTCAACTCCTATGTCATGGGTATGGTGTGAAGATGTAGTGAGTTGAAGGGTTTCATCAATAGGGAACTTCCTGTATAAGTTGTCATTTCATTATTTGTGGACACTGAACTTTGAGGGGTGAAAGGGAACCTCTCAGATTCTTTTTACTGAGGAGTGGACTGTACCTGAATGTGCTGCCCCCCTCACCCCCCCACCCCCCCTCACCCCCACTGTGGTTAAGGTTTTTAATTACCTTTGCATGGATCAGAATATTAAGAAAGATGTGCTGGGCATATAGACCCCTGAAATCTACACCTGGGCCTGACTGGGACATTATTTGCCAAAATCTGTATGAATATTAGACTCACCCGAAATGGCTCTTAAAGAAAACCTCTAAGGATTCTGCCTCCAGAGATTCTGATTTGTTGGGGCTGAACAAGATCGAGGCATCTGAATTTTGATGAATCTCTCCAAGTAAATGGAATATGAGCTATCTCCTGACCCAGCAGGCTGTGAAGTAAGCTTGGGGTCTATTAATAGAAGTACAGAAAATGGAACAAAGGAGGGGACAGTGTTTCAGAGCTGTGAACAAATTACAGAGCTGTATTGGATGGCTGGATGGAGATCTGGGTACCCCACTTCCAGAGGGAGAGGGACTGGGACAGAATCTTCATAGGAGCAAGACCCGGGTGGTGTGGGGACTCAAAGGAAGAGGGGAAAGCACTGAAGGGGAAATGGCTGGCTTGCCCAAGGTCACCCCGTGAAGTGTATCAATGAAAACACCTCGAAAAGAAGAGAGACACATGTCCTTTTGCTTTAAACAGCTTTATTAGATCACAAAGTCAAATGCTATAACAGTGAAAATAGTTGAACATGAGATTTCATCTTTCTTAAGTAAACAGCTTGTAAAACTCATGTCTTCGAAACTGTTCGCCAGGTGAGGAGTGAGGACAGAAATGCCGTTAGGGTGGTCTAGACTGCATGCCTTCGCCCCAAGTAACCTAAAGGAATCTTTCTGATTATCTCCAAGGACAGGTGGATCTGGTTTTACTTGGATGCATTTCCTTGTAGGCTTTCTGTTTGGGACTGAGATTTGGTCTCTGTCACAGCTGACAGGCACATGCTGTTTGCCTGGATGCCCTGTCCCCTCAAAATCCTGTCAGCTCCAGGCCCATCTAGAAGATGAGTAGAGCAGTGATTGTGCACGTGTGCATGCACACACACACACACACACACACACACACACTTACAAGGTTTGCACAAGTGAAAGACAGACACCTATAAAAACTTTTAAATGGAAATCTATATAATTTTATTAACCAATGGCCGCCCAATAAATTCAATAAAAAATATAAAAAACTTTGAAAATCCTCACAACCATTTTGTGAAGTAGAACTTTTTTTTGTTACCTTCACTTAATTATTATCATTGTTATTTTTGAAGGAGGAAGTATGTGGAAGAGCATACCAGTGGAAAATGGCAGAACCGGGATTTGAACTCTGGTCTTCCGGTCACAAATCTCTGCCCAAACGGACACCAAGAGGCAGAAGCACATCAGAGTGCTGGTAAGGTTTCTGTTACCCCACTGGCCAATAGCTTGTCTGGCTGATATTTTTGTCCAGAGAAGACAGAAGACGAACCCAAAGACTGGGAGGTGGCAGGGTGGGGAAGGGTGTGTCCTTTCGTGCAATCCACGTCACTGTGCCGTCTGCTCGGGGCTAGACTGCCTGGGCAGAGAGGTGGCACCTTCAAGAAGAAAAGAGGCGTCCTCTGTTACCATCCAGGTTCCCAGCTAGAGCAAGGGCCCTCAGAACAGGCTGCTGGTCAGACAGAGGCACTCGACCAGGGCAGGAGGGTGCAAAGGTCATGTCTAGAAGGCCACTTTCACAGAAGACAGCTTGCTATATTCATGGCTTCGGCTCCAGAAGATGACCCTTCTATTCAAATGTTGCCTCCTCCGGAACGGTAGCGGCCCAGGCAGTGCTCTCTGAGGGCCATCAGGAAACTGCGGGGGGTGTGGGGCCTTTGTTACTGGAATATGCTTTCTTCCATCTGTGATGCTGTGGACACTGTGCCTGACCCTCTCTACTTGGTATCATCCTTCTGGGATGCCCGGTCCTAGAGACCATCCCTCCAGTAAGGTCAAGAGTAACAGCTTTAAAGACAACCCAGGAGCCCTCCCATGAGCACCCCTGGCACACTGTGCCTACATGTGCATTCCTCCTCCTCCTACTAATACCTACTTCTCTTTGATCATACAGTTTTGTATTTATTATGACATCATCGTGCAACAGTCTAGCTGGAAAACTTGCCATAACACAGAAGTACATAAACTATAAGGACATCGTGTCCCTTCCCCCTTCCCTATCCTCCATCCCTCCCTCACCGGCTACAGAAACTCTGGTCTGTTGTCTGCTCTGCTCTCTGTGGATCCCCTCCCCCAGCCCAAGGCCCGCAGCCCGATTGTGGAGTGAATAGATGGACCCCCATCGTCAGGCTGATGTGGTCCTTTCCCTACACATCCAAAGTCACATACGTGGTGTGATTTTGTACATCAATGTGACCATGCTGTGTACAGGCCTCTTCAGTTTTTGCTTTGTAATGTGTATTAAAGATCCTTCCTAGACTCCACATGTAGACTGGCTTCATTCTTTTTCACTGCTGACTAAACACACCATCATTACTTGGCTCCTCCCATATTGATGGGCGTTTTAAGTTCCTTCCATTTCTCAGGATTTCCTGCCGTGCAGCCTGCCCAGGCCTCTGGTTGCCCAGATGAGAGGAAAGACAGCTGAGGTGGACTCACTGGGTGGGTAGAAGGGCTCCTCCTTCCTACCCCACTCACTGGGTCGGATGCCTGAAAACCTGAATTTCCCAGAAAGATAAGCTGGGCTGAGAGAAATTCCTTTCCCTGGGAGTGGTGGGGAGAGTCAGTCCTGGCTTGTATTTTGTACTTGATACACACACACACCCTGTCCTAGCCTCTCCCCACAGAACTTAATTTTAGAACATGAACTGATTAGTGTTGGCATGTTTTGTGGAAACAGGCAAAACTGAGTCCTGGGGTCTGAGTTCTAATATAGGGTTTGCCACAAAATTACCTGAAAGTATTGAATGAATCATTTCATATTTATGAGACTCAGTTTCTTTACCTTTAAAATGGGCTGGTATGACAGGAATAGTAATCTAATTCCTGACATTAAACTTTCTGATAGAAAATAATGGGTTGGGAATGAGAACAATGCTTAGAGAAGTGGACACTTTCACTGCAAATTTTCCAGGCTGAGGCTTTGGAAAAGCCCCCGGGTTTGCTGTGGGAGCCACGAAACAGGAAACTGCCTTTTGGGAAAGAGCAGTCAGCTGTTCTGGGCGAGGTCAGAGCCAGCAGCTTGGTGACCTGTTCCTGGTTCAGCAGGTCAGCAGCCCCACCTCCGCCCTGGAGCTGCAGGACCTGTTCCTTAGCTGACCTTTGGTGAGGGCACATTTCTCCTCCTTCACAGAGGAAAGTCTGGGGAGCACCTCGCCCGCAGCCTGGTCACCTGTGCCTTCTGATGGCTGCCGGGCCCCTCCACCACAGGCCTGCATGGGTCTCCCTACAGCGTCAGGCACTAACTAGAGCAGTGAGGGCCATGGCCCTGCAGTCACAGGGCTGGCCCTGAACCCTGGCTCTGCTGTGCCTGTCAGCTGAATGAGCTGGGCAAGTCACTCAGACTTAGGTAGGTGGGTGAAGATTAAAGGTGGACTTTTCACATGAGCATATAATAAAAGCTCAGTAAGCATTTATTATTGTTACTAGAAGCCCAGTGCACAGATTTGTGCACTGGTGGGGGCGTGGCCTGCAGGGATTGGCCCACTGTGGGAGCACCGCTCATCCCAGTCAGCCGAGCGGCTGTGGACCTGCCCTTTGAGCAGCTGCTGAATGATGAAATTAGTCTGGGATGGTATTTCAGGGTAATGTCTTGGGTAAAGGCATGTTCTATGTTCTGGAGGGACCTGACGGAGAGCTTTGCACCCCAAAGCCACTCGGTGAATGTCCTTGATGTGTGATGCCAGGTCGATGACACCATCAGGGATGTTCAGGGCAGCCGTGATCCAGGGTCCTCAGCCATCAGGGCAGCCTCCCCGGGGTGTCCACAGTCATGTCCCCTCTTGCCATCTGCCTATGCCAGCTCCCTGTGCTCTTTCTAGAACACACCTTAGAGGGCGTGCATCAGCTGGTGGGGTCAGGCCAGAGTCTGGGTTGTCTCAGGTATTTGATAGGTACAGAGACTCGGCCTCACCCTGGCCTGCTAGCGGCTGTTCCCACTGCTCATCCCAGTCAGTTGAGTGGCGCTCCCACTGTGGGAGGCAGTGACCACCAGGGGCAGCTCCTGCATTGAGTGTCTTCCCCCTGGTGGTCAGTGTGCGTCATAGGGACTGGTCGACTTATCGTTCTGGTCATTCCGCCTTTCGGTTGCTGGGCTTTTATATATATAGATTATTTTATTATTAATGCTTGAGGAAAAATAGACAAATGATGAATGAATGAGAAGATGCAACATCATTCCGCATTCATTCACATGGAATGGCTTTCCCCTTAACTTGTCTCCAATGCAATCATAGCACATTTGCGAATGGGTTTTCCTCAATCTGGGATGCTCTTCCCACCTCCTGTCAAAATTCCTTGCTTCAAAGCCCCCAGTCACATGCCACCTCCTCCAGGAAGATCTCTTTGCTTTTCCCTTTGGGACATGCTAACTTTCTGCTCATGTCACCAGTATTATCTCTGAATACTAATGATTCCCAGGTTCATGTTTCCAGTAGAGGGTGAATAGGTGACATGGTGTGCTTATCGCTCGTGTGGTCTGTAATGGTTTCCTAGGGCTGCCCTTACGAACTACCACAAACTCGGTGGCTTAAGAGAGCAGACATTTATTGTGTCATGATTCCGGAGGCTAGAAGTCCAAAATCAAGGTGCATCTGCATGGCTGTGCTCCCTATGACACCTAGGGAGAAGCCTCCTTTGCCTCTTCCTGGTTTCTGGTGGTTTGCTGGCAGTCCTTGGCTCGCAGCCATATTGCTCTAATCTCCCTCCCTTCATGGTCAGCTGGGCTTCTCCTGTGTGTCTCTATCTCTTCACAGGGTGTTTGTTTATTAAGGACACAAGTCGTATTGGATTAGGGGCCTACTCTACTCCAGTATGAATTCATTTTAACTTAAATAATTACATCTACAACAATCCCATTCTAAATAAAGTCATATTCTAAGGTACTGGGTGTTAAGTCTTCAATATATTATTTTGGGGGGCACAGTTTCACCCACCACACGGTCTTTTAGTTTTTCTCTTGAACTACAGCACTTAAGAGCATATCTTATTATCTGAACTAGATGGTGAAATTTTCCAAGGAAAACCATTCAGTTTTACTTCTGAAGGGGCAAACAGGCTGCGCTTGGGCTGGATTTGTTTGGCAGACATGTTTGTCTGCCCTGAAGTATTGGCCCAACACAGTGCTTGGGAAGAGATTCTGAATTAGTCTGAAAGTCTGGATGTCTGGTTTCCATGGCAAACCAGAATGTCTAGCCACACACCAGGGAGCATTGCACCATGTCCCTCACTGCCTGAAGCCTCTCAGGGGCTTCTCCTCAGACTGGGCAGTGCCCTCCTGGTACCACAGGTACTATATATTCTACTGGTTCTGTTTCTCTGGAGAACCTTGACTAATATACTTTTCTTTGAAAAACATGTCAAACACCTAAGACCCTCTCACCACTTCCACTAACTTCACTCTTGTTCAAGCCATCACCGTCTCTCCCCCAGACGTTATAATTGCTGCATACCCAGCATGCCAGCTGAGCCTATTTTCCAAGGAGCAGCCAGGGTGACCCTTTAAAGCACTAAGTCAATCATAGGACTCCTCTATTTAGTGTCCTCCGTTGGCTCCCATCTCACCCAGAGTAAAAGCTAAAGTCCTTAGATGGCCTTCTAGGTCCTACACATTCTGACCTCCTGCTGCTTTCTCTGACCTCATCTCTGTGCCCTGCCCTGCCTCACTGGACTCCAATCACACATGCTTTCCCTCTAACATGCCACCCAGGGTCCAGCCTCAGCGCCTTTACGCTTGCTACTCTCTCCGTCTGGAAAACTCTTTGTTCTGGTTGATTCATCTGAGCTACCCAGAGCAGAATAGCACTAGTTTCTTGTATCTCAAGAGAAGCAATGACATTATCCAGAATGGACCATTCATTTCAGATTTGCCAAAATGTGTGTCTCAGTCCACTGCTTCAAGGTGTCTGTCATCTATGACAGATGGCCTTCCCTTGACTGATCTGAACCATTTGCCATTTCTGTTCTCTATCACTGTGCCTGTATGAGAATGGTGTGCAGGCAAGTCAAGGAGAAGGACAAGTCTGAGCATTTGCTGCCATGTGCAAGAGAGACCATGGTTTCTCCTCACTGTCTGATTCTCACATACCTCCCCACACTTCCAGTGGCTGCTTTCTAAAGAGCCCCTTGCCCTTTTATCTTGGGCCCAAGAAAACATCCTAATTCACACTTAAACACCATTCCTTGGTGAGGGGAGAGGCGTGGGGCACCTTATGGGAAGTGGATGCTTTAAACATCCTGCATGTGGTGCTGTGATCAGAGAGATCCTGTGTTCCCTGCCCCTGCCCCCTTGCCCCCCACCTGCCCAATAATCCTTCCTCGGTGGAGTCATGAAAAGAGCCCATAACCAGAAGAGTGAAGCCCTGGGCTGTGGAAGCAAGGAGACCTGGCTCAAGTCCTGAATCTGACACCATACATGGCAGGGCCTTAGGCAAGTTGCACACCCTTCTCCATTAGTTTCTCACTCACGAATAGAGGTGATAATGCCTACATTATGGGATTTAAGTGCAGTGATGTATAATGAGCGCCTGGTCTGTAGTAAACTGGGAGTCAAGATGTGTCAGGTTTGAAACGGAAGCCAGACTTCAGAGACACAGTCGACACGCTGTCACCTGTGGTTGAGCTGGTGTGTGCGGTGGACTCTCCCGACCACTCCAGTGAGACGGACCCCTGGGCCATCCTTCCCATTGTCGCCCCAGCACTCCTTCCAGAATTTAACTTGACCAGGCCACCTTCCTGCTTAAAATGCTTGCGAGAGGGACCTCAAGTCCATCCTCCAAGTAGCCCGCAAGGCCGGCTGTCAGGACCCTGCTTTCTCTCGGCCCATACCTCCTCACTCTTGGACCACTCACCACTGACCTTTGCTCTTGGCATTAAAGAAACATCAAGTAATGAGTGGTCCTTGAGCGTGGTTGTTCGATCACCTGTGCCTATGTCTAACCTTGTTGGCATCCAGCCATATTTCCTCCATCCCCTTCGGGAGCTGTCACGAGAGGTTTTCTGAGATTCAGCCACACTGTGTCAATTGCATTCCCCTGCTCTGCTGACTATCCAAAATGGAAAAGAGGTTGGTCCGTGTGACCAGTATTTTTGTGCATACTGTAGCCTTAACATACCTTGTCCTCCACCCTCTCACCTGTAAGACGCTGGGCTACATCTGGCGATTTCTCGGATTCCTTCTCACCAGGACCTTGGGAGCCCGGGCTGGGGCGTTGCACCTTCACCAGCAGGCAGTTGGCTCACTGATGCTGCTGGGGTTGAGGTGAGATGCTGCACCCGCAGCCCCTGCTTCAGCTTCATGCAGATACCACGGAGGTGATTGCAGAGAGAGGCTGGGTGGGGAATCCCTTTCCCCGTGGCAGGCCAGTCTGTGAGGCCAAGTCAGTCAGAGAGGGAGCAAGAACAGCAGCCTGGTTCCTGGGATGCTCTCTGCCCTCCTCCTCCGCCCTGGCTACCCCCACAAGAACCAAACTGTGTATCTGAGTCTTAGAATGCCAGGAATGTGCCACAGCCTGATAGGCATGAAGCAGTCTGCAGAGAGGCAGGGAGGAGCTCTGCTTCCAGGCAGAGGCCTGGCAGTGCAAGGACTGCGGGGCCTGAGGGCTGTGCAGCCCCTCCCATCCTCCCTGGGCCTCCTGCTGCAGCCGGGATTTCAAAGGCTGCATTGTGCATTGAGCCGGGGCCTTGGTCCCTCGTGTGCCAGGGAGTAGGCGGGAGGAGGAACACCGTGGGGAGGCTGTGCCCTGGCAGTGCTCTTCTGGCTGGTGTTCCCAGGGTCCTCGGCCCGTGGAGGATGGTGAACACATGGGTGGCTGCTTCTGCATCCCCAGGGAGCGGAGTCTGTCCTGGGGCCCAGGTGAGTTTCCTGTGGGGCCCTGGCCTGTGTCTTGGCTGAGGTGGTTGGTTCAGTGAAAGCTCAGGGGTCTGCTGGGGTGGGGAAGTTGCTCTTCCAAAGTTGGGGAGATGGTTGTGCTTTCTGGCTCCCTCCTCCCTCCATCAGTGTTTGTCACTCTGGCTTTGTAAAAGGGCGTAAAGCTCGGGAAACATCTACTTTTCCTGAAGAGAGAGGCCGGGAGCTGGCTCTGTGAGGAGCAGTATTGCTCTTGGCTGCCACTCCCAGGGTGTGACTAAGCCCTTCCTTCCTTTCTTCCCAAGTTTCCCTAGGTCAGGAAGAAAGCTCCGGCTGCGAGTTCCTCTGGGGTCCATGGGTGGTCATAAACTTGGCCTCCGTCCCTCAAACCCTATTTTCGTCAGGGTTGCTATTACTAAGAAAAACAGGCGTTTCCTGCCTCCTACCTGTTGCAGGGTGATATACTTTTTTGGTATGTCAAGTTGAAGCCACAGAGAATTATTGCTCTAAGCGAGTGTCAAGCCATTGAGACTTGTCATTGTCTGACCAACATCCCAGGTCTGCCTGGGACGGAGGGGTCCCCCCAGGCTCTAGTCAAGGCTAAAATTGGGACACTCCCAGGCACACCGGCATGGTTGGTCACGCTAATGCAAGTTCCTTGCTTGTCTTCAGAGCAGGACCAAGGTGAGGCCCGTGGTCTCGCAAATGGCATTTATCGGGATGAGTGGTAGCTTTGGGGTGGGGGTGATTGGATTGGGGGAGAGCTAGGGAGGAGATAGAAGAACATCACACAAGGAACCATTCCTAAAACTAGCTGGCATATCATCTCTTCCTGGAGCACTACCATGGTTCCTTGGAGCAGGAGCCCAGAAGAACCCCTAGACAAAGCTTTCTACTCTCTGACAGATGACTCCCCCGGGGGTCCCGTTACTTGGGCTGGCCAATGCCAAAGTGAATGGGAAGTAGCCGTATTCTGGAGCCTGAGCACCTTGGCATCTCCGGCAGGGAGAGGCTCCCAGACTAAGGCCACCCCAGATCTATAAATTATAAGTAAACAAACCTCTAAACAATGCCACTGAGGCAGGCATCACCACGGTTAATCACCTGGCCTTTGAGGCCAGAATGCCTGGGTTTCATCTCTGTTCCTTGACTTGTGTTGAGCAATTTACTTAACCTCTCTGTGTTTCAATTTCCTCGTGTAGATTTTATGATATGACTGTCTTCCTCATATGAGGATTAAGACTACATGTGAAACAACCTGGTACACAGTTGATTAAGCACAATAAATGTCAGCCACATCAATTACATGTCTATGGCCCCGGCACATCACACTCTCCCTCTAGGCCTCTGTTTGCTCATCTGTAAAATGAGGCGGTTGTGAACTCGCCCTGGGCGGTGTCTCAGGACCTCTGTTCCTGCTCCCTGACCTCAGCTTCTGATGTAGCAACTCTGCTTCTGTTTGCTGTCCTGTCCTTCAGCCCAAGATTTCATGTAAGAGAATTCTACAGGTCAAACCCACCAACGAACCACTATTGAGAAAAACAACCTCAAACTTCTTCAACACTCTCATTCAGTTATTTTATTGGTTTACCTGACTTTGCTATTAACAATTGGTTGGCATTCTAGATTCACTTTTTCACCAAGAGTCAGCTTGCCATTTATTTCTATTGAGGCTTTTCATGACACCCTCCCATATTGTTCTCCATACTTCTCAGGGTCCTTTCTTAGGGTGTTGATAGAAGTGCTATAGGTCTGAGGCCAGTTGACATAAACATCCCCTTCTAGGTGCACCTATTTATCCTAGAAAAATGGAACAAAATATGAGACACATCCTGGAACAACTTAATACAGTGGGGTCTTGACTTACGAGTTTAATTCGTTCCGTGACGGAGCTTATAACTCAAATTACTCGTATGTCAAATCACTGTGACGTTCGCTGCACCAACTAGTGGTGGGGTATCTGAAGCTGACTCGTAACCCGAATTTTAGCTCGCAACTTCAAAGCAAAAAATCGGCCGAGAGACAGCTTGTATCTCAAAAAACTCGTTAGTCGGGACACTCGTAAGTCAAGGCCCCACTGTAATTGTGTGACTTTGGGCAAGTCTCTTATATTCTTTGAACCTGTCAAATGATCGTATACAATAGGAGGCTTTGGGTAGAAATAAAAGATAAACATTTATTCAAGGGTCTTGAGGTTTGCAAATTGAAAACACAACCAAGCAATACCCAGAGTGGTGTGCAGAAGCAAGAAAAACCAAGGATTCTTACAGTCAGGAGTACATTCTTGAGAAGAATCAGTCCTACATTCTTAGACTCTGTATGGGTCCAAGATGCTAATCCTCTAGAGGACTGGTGGTCTGGATAATGGATCTCAGGTGGTATGAACACTCTTTCCTTGCCCTTTAAGGGGTAATCAGAGGGTTATCTGGAGGTTTGATGGATATCATGTATTGACCCAAGACTGGAAAGTTCAAAGGTGTAGGTTCCCAGGCTCATTAAAACAAGAATAGAACTGTTTCCTCATACCTCAACCTACTTGCTTTTAGTTATTTTGCAACTTGACTCTAGTGACTTCATTTTATTTCTGCTTTCTATTCGTCAAACCTTAGTTTTCCTGTCTGTAAACTGAATCTAATGGTAGTATCTAGTTCATGGAGCATTTGTGAGGGTTAAATCAGATTATTCATCTCATGGATTTAGCACAGGGTCTGGCTTCTGAAAACCCCTCAGTAATTATGGGCTGTTTTATTGTTAGCAAGTAGGGACCACTCCAGCGTTCCTTCTTCCTAATTCCTGACTCCATAGGACTAGGAGTCTGTGCTCATAATTCTTTGGCTGCTCCTGCCATTGTGTCTGTGTAAGTGGGAGTAAACAGTGAGGATCAACAGTCCTCAGGGGTAAGGGAGGCAGCAAAGGAGAAGGTTCTTGATAGAACTGAGCCCTGGCTGGCTGCCCAGCTGGCTTGCTGCTGTGTGACACAACGACTGATGTTGGTTCTGACAACCCCAGGCATGTTGCGTTCTCACACGTGCGTGCTGCCTGCAGCATTAGTTCCCTGTGATGTCTCTCATTTGCTCACATAAATCTCCTGACTGCAGGTGGTGAGAGGGTGAATTACTGGTCAATTGCCATCATTGCTGACTTCCGGGACCCTTAAATGTTCTTGTCATTGTTTAATAAACTACAGTTGCTCACGTAGGAGTACAGAGAAAGCCACATCGAAGTTTGTCTGTTTAAAAGTTCCTAGCACTTTCTCCTTATTTTCAACACATTCTTGAAGAAATTTGGCAGACTTACACCCTTAAACAGTTGCTGTGGGAGAGATATATTTGCCTACATTGATCCTGTTTGTAACTTCCCTTTCAACCTTTTTGGTAAATACTAATTATCAGTGTAATAATAGGAGATTGAAAGAGAATGCCAAGATAAGATAGGAGAAAGTGGATTCTCATTTCCAGCAAGTTTCTGTGAGTTAGATGTTTCCCGGATTAGAGACTTTAAACCTCAGATTTCTGAGGTCAGGTTCATGTAGTGGAAACAGCAAGGTCTGCACCCAGTGATCTGTGTGGCGCCCGACTCTGCCACAGTTCCCTGTCATTCAGAGACTATATGGATGGCAGATGAACACACGAAAAAAGTGCTCAGCATCATTAGTTATTAGGGAAATGCAAACTGAAATAATGAGATAAAATTGGGCATCTATAGAATGGCTAAAATGAAAATGAGCAACACAGTCAAGTATTGGTGAGGATGTGGAGCAACTGGAACTCTCACACATTGCTAAGGGGAAGCAAAATGCTACAGCCACTTTGGAGAGCAGCTTGATAGTGTTTAAATAAATCCCAGAGTTTTCTGAATTAAGTGTTAGTAACTTTATCTAGCCAGCATTAATAATAAAGACACTAGCTTCCAGAAAGTAATTTATTGATTCATACATGAAAAGTCCGGAGGTTATTTGTTTCAGGTATGGCTTCATCAAGATGTCCAAAAATGTTATCAGGAAGTTCTCTTTCCTCAGCTCTATTTGTACTAGGTTGGTCTCATCCTCAGGCAGGCTTTCTCCCTGTGGTGGGACCTACAGCTCCATGCTGTCACATTTGCAGCGTCAAGTTCAGTGGAAAGAAATCTTCTCGTCCGTAAGAGTGCTGGTGAGTGTCGTACGACCAGTTTTCATGGGCTTAACTTTGGCTGCATGGCTACGGCAGAGCATACTCGATTCACTTATGCTGAGTCCTGTGTCCACGTTTGGAGATAGGGATGAAGGGAGGCAGGCTCATCTGAGCCACAGAGACTGGGTTCTCCTAGGTCACATGGCTAAGCTAATGAAGAAGCCAGGCTTTGAGTCCAGGACTGTCTGATTGCAGAGTCTTTGTTCCCAGACACTGCCTCACCTGCCTCTAGTGTTGGAAGACAATGCAGAATATT